AAGCGTTCACTGCCAAACTGCTCCTACAGGTTGTCCTCAATTTGAGACTACAACGGGGCCCCAAACTGACGTCGCTAAGGGAGACGTTTGTTAAGGGGGTCTTGCCCCACTTTATGACTTTTCTTCCCCATTTGTTAAGCGAATCGTTGCAGCGGTTCGGTTAGCGACACACGGTCACTAACTTCCCCCACCGACTCCGGTTCTCAGACGGTCGCAAAAGAGGATCGCGTGACCTCACGACACTGCCACCGTCATAAATGTGAGTCAGTTGTCAAGCACCCGGATATACACCACGTGGTGCTGCCAACGGTCGTTAAGTGTGAAAAAAACGGTCCTACGTCCCTTTTTCCAGTGTCGTAACTTTGAACGGTCACTAAGAAAACGGTTGAAAAATCAAGGATTGCCTAGAATGTGTTTGAAAAAAACAACAACAACCAGTGTGCCGTTGTGCCCACATTAAAAATAATGACAATAAAGGTTATCTAATCTAATCTAAAAATAGTTTGTCCATGGTTGGCCGGAAGAAGACTGAATGATTGACGATGCAAAAGGAAGATTTCAGATTCTGAGGGGAAGTCAGCTCCCCAGAGAAGGAAATATTAAAAAGGCAGAAAAATATATTTCCTCAAAAAGGATTTTTAAAAGCAGAAGCCAACCCTGACCCCAAATCTCTCTGCCCCAAGCAGGAGCCAGCCCTATACAAATGCAGATGTAAAACCATCAGGAAAGTTGGAGCCAGAAACTCAAGAAGACAAAGACCTAAAATCTGCAAAACTCACCCAAACTCTAAGAGTCATTAGCCCCAGCCCCAGGGAAGCAGGATATGACTTAACAGAGGGATAGAATCAAGATCACGTGAAGTGTTAATACCACTTTACAAGGCCTTAGTAAGGCCACACTTGGAATACGGCATACAGTTTTGGTCACCATGATGTAAAAAAGATGTTGAGACTCTAGAAAGAGTGCAGAGAAGAGCAACAAAGATGATTAGGGGACTGGAGGCTAAAGCATATAAGGAAAGGCTGCTGGAATTGGGTATGTCTAGTTTAGCGAAGAGAAGGATGAGGGGGGACATGATAGCCGTGTTCCAGTATCTCAGGAGCTGCCCCAAAGAAGAGGGAGTCAAGCTATTCTCCAAGGCGCCTGAAGGCAGGACGAGAAGCAACGGGTGGAAACTCATCAAGGAGAGAAGCAACCTAGAACTAAGGAGAAACTTCCTGACAGTTAGAACAATTAGCCAGTGGAACAACCTGCCTCCAGAAGCGGTGAATGCTCCAACACTGGAGGTTTTTAAGAAGAGACTGGACAGCCATTTGTCTGAAATGGTGTAGAGTTCCTGCCTGAGCAGGGGGTTGGACTAGATGACCTCCAAGGTCCCTTCCAACTTTATTATTATTACTACTACTACTACTGCTGCTACTACTACTACTACTACTACTACTACTACTACTACTATTATTATTATTATTATTATTATTATTATTATTATTATTATTATTATTATTATACCACAGATACCAAGCCCCAGAAATGCACACTCAGACTCAGTTCAAAGTTCATGCCACAGGAACAGGAAACTATTCCAAACAAAAGGCTTTCAGAGGGTATAAAAACCTACTCCACATGTGCTCAGCCCTTGATCTCTCTCCTCCTTCCTGCCAGAACCATCTTTCAGTCTGGCTCTTCAATAATCTGCAACCATCTTCCCAAAGCAGTCGCCATGTTGTTTATTTATCCCCGGCTTGGATGAACCAGGGTGAAGACTTTTCTTTCAACAATTCTTTGTGAAGATTCTGATATTGCGGGAAAGGACTTTTGAAGGCCCCTGTTGTAGACAGAATTTTGCTTCTATCAACTCCTTTGTAAGCTGCCTTTTCATGACCGGATAAAAAGGCCTAGAGGAATCTTGCTCATTCCGTCAAACGTAACACTGGAAGCATCAAAAAGACACCCGAAGCCCCAAAGAGCTTAAAATCCCAGCGCTTTTTGAAAATACATCAACATACTTCAAGATGCAGGATCAAGTATTTTCTCACTGACACAAAAAAAAAACACAAATAAATCAAATACAGCACAGAGCTGTAGGGTTCAATGGCAGGTAAAAATGTGCGTTAGCAGCTGAGCGGTTTGCACAAGTAGCAAAGAGGTAACTTAGAAAAATGAATATATCCTAATCTTTAAAATGCCGAAGAAGAAGAGGAGGAGGAGGAGAAGAGGAGGAGGAGGAGGAGGAGGAGGAAGAAGAAAAGGCAGAGGAAGAGGAGAAGAAGAAGGAGAAGGAGGAGAAGGAGAAGGAGAAGGAGAAGGAGAAGGAGAAGGAGAAGGAGAAGAAGAAGAAGAAGAAGAAGAAGAAGAAGAAGAAGAAGAAGAAGAAGAAGAAGAAGAAGAAGAAGAAGAAGAAGAAGAAGAAGANAGGAGGAGGAGGAGGAGGAGGAGGAGGAGGAGGAGGAGGAGGACAACGACGACGACGACGACTGTGGGGTCCTTGTTCTCTGAGCTTGGTGGTTTCCTTGCAGATGTTTCATGACCAAACTAGGAAACATCATCAATGCTAGAAGGGAGTGGGGTTTGTGGAGAGGAGAGGAGGAAGAGGAGGAGGAGGAGAAGACTGTGGGAGGAGGAAGGAGAGGACAACAAGGAAGAGAATTGTGGGGTCCTTGGCGCTCTCTGAGCTTGGTGGTTTTCTTGCAGATATTTCGTGACCCAACTAGGGAACATCATCAGAGTGAATCCCCCCTCCCTTCTAGCACTGATGATGTTACCTAGTTGGGTCATGAAACGTCCGCAAGAAAACCACCAAGCTCAGAGAGCACCGAGGACACTGCTGGTAAACATGTTCGGTAAAAATGCAGGTAACCACCATCAGTGCTAGAAGGGAGTAGGGTTTGCTGCAGGTACACAGTGCAGCATCTAGTACTGATGATGATTTTACCTAGGTGGGTGGGGAATTCTGGGAGTTGAAGTCCACAAATTGCTACGGTCTAAATCCAAACCCTGGTCTAAATAAAAAGAAGATCACACCTTGATGTGGAGTTCAGATCCCAGAATCCCCAGCAATTTGGTAGTTTCCATGTGGGAAGCACTCCCCTCAGGCTTTCCTAGAACCGTGAAGGCCTCTGGTTCCCATCACCGTGACTGATGACAAAAGCCACAGAGAAGTTGCTTTCAGGGCTACAACTGGAAAGGAGCCTTCCATCTTTCCACCCAAAGTACAAATACTATCAAGAAAGTATGGGCGTTGTCTATTCACACACATACACACACACAAGACCATCTCATGGAGAAGATTGGCCTGGCCTTCAAAGAAGCTGGGAAACCAGGTGGCCACCAAGAAAGAAGACTTAGACCAGGTGTCTTCAAACTTGGCCCTTTGATGACTGGTGGACTTCAACTTCCAGAATTCCTCAGCCAGGCACACGTGCCTGGCTGAGGAATTCTGGGAGTTGAAGTCCACCAGTCATCAAAGGGCCAAGTTGGAAGCCCCCTGTCTTAAATCTAACAAACAAAATGGAGGCTGGCTGAGGAATTCTGGGAGTTGAAGTCCACAAGTCATCAAAGGGCCAAGTTGGAAGACCCCTGTCTTAAATCTAACAAACAAAATGGAGGCTGGCTGAGGAATTCTGGGAGTTGAAGTCCACAAGTCATCAAAGGGCCAAGTTGGAAGACCCCTGTCTTAAATCTAACAAACAAAATGGAGGCTGGCTGAGGAATTCTGGGAGTTGAAGTCCACAAGTCATCAAAGGGCCAAGTTGGAAGACCCCTGTCTTAAATCTAACAAACAAAATGGAGGCTGGCTGAGGAATTCTGGGAGTTGAAGTCCACAAGTCATCAAAGGGCCAAGTCGGGAAGACGCCTGACTTAAGACAAAATGGAGGCATTTCTTACCTCTCCCCAGATGCCCACGGTATCTCTTATGTCGTTTTTGCAGTACGAGAGTTGCCGGATGCAGTTGTTTACCGCCACGCTGCTTTTTCCAGGCGCCAAATCTTCCTCTCCCATCTCTACCCACCCCAAGGAACGAACAGCGAAGCACTGCAATGACACCAGATCCCAGGAATAACGTTTTAGATCTTGCGGATCTCCACCTCATGAGGTAAACATTTTTCATTTCGTGAGAGAGAATTCAGCAGTTAGGAACGGCGCTGAAAAAAAGCCACTTTCGGCCGTTTTTCACACTTGTGACCGTGCAATCCCACGATCAAAATTCAGACACTTGGCCCCTGGTTCGTATTTATGATGGTTGCAATATCCCGAGGCCACGGGGTCAACTTTTGCGACCACCTGACAAGCCAGAACAATGTTACTAAATCAGTGGTTCTCAACCTTTTTAATGCCGCGACCCCAACCGGTCGTAAGTCAAGGACTAAACCGGTCGTAAGTCGAGGACTAAACCGGTCGTGACTACCTAACTGGTCGTAAGTCGAGGACTTTCCCTGCCTGGGAGCGCCGCGCATGCGTGGTTTCGCCCCCTGCGCCGGCCAAGGCGTAGCTGGCAAGCGGCAGAGACGGAGCAGGCCGACCACCAGCTGGCCCAGCCCAAGGGAGGTAAGGCACCCGCCGGAAAAGGGGAAAAAAATGGCGGACAAAAAAAATGGCGGACAGCCTTGCTTGGCGACCCCCATGAAATGGTCGATCGACCCCAAATGGGGTCCCGACCCACAG